TTGTTTGTTCGACTTTGTTTTGAAAATTTTATCTGATAGAACAAACAATCAAAACTTGTCGCACCAAAATTTAATCATAGATCAAATTGAATTACCCAAGCAGAGAAAAAACGGTTGACAGAACGTTAAAAAGCATTAAATTAGCGTTTTCACTGTTTTAAAAGGTTTCAACATGTGTATTGATTAAAGTCGTACTTAAAACGCTTTATCAAAGTTATTTTTGGAGGTTTTAAGTATAAACAGTTGATAATATTTTCTATTGTTCTATTTTTGTATAGTATGGATCGTTCAGTGCTGGTATTGTTCTTTTCTCTTCAGATTCTTCTGATCTGCACAGTAATTTTTTCTTTGTTAGAAATAAGATCATCATATTTCAATAATAAATTATCGATAGTAAAGTAGTTCTATTTTTGCATTATTATAACTATTTAAAATAAATGAGTGAGAAAATTTACTATTTCATTTATATTTCTATATATTTTTCTTTTTATTTATTTCTCTTCTCTTTTTTTCTTAATACCTATACATACATATTTCATCACATATAATACGATGTTTTGGTTTTCTCTTTCGTTCTACTTCTTCTTGTGTCCTAAGTAATCGAACAGAACGAAAACGACAATAATTTTCTTTTTTTTTTATACTCATTGTTTTTTTCATATGTATATGCGTATCATATGTTGCTTGTTGAGCAGTTGAGAATATTCAGCGAGAAAAAATACTTTTGGATGTTAGCGTGGGTGCGACTAAATAGAGGGCTCAGAGTAACAGTCGCAATCATCGTCGTCGAAACCGTTAACACTGTTTGTTATATAGCACAAACCTAGTTTAAACACATTTTCGAACATATATATAATACTATTTAAATATCGTTTTTCTCGTTTGGTTGTCTGCCTGGATGGGTAGTTCCATGTTGGTTCTTTCACGAGCTCGAGAAAATCACGGGTTGCACAGATTCTCTTTCGCTGGTTCATTGTTGTTTCACGATGAAAAATAAAATAGAAAAACATAAGTGAATATATGAAGAAATTCGTGAGCTTTTATTCTATTTGTTTGAGAGTTTTTTTCTTAAGATTCTTGCCGTTGTTAAGGTGTAACAGAGTCTCATCGACATGTCTCCACAATGCAGTATGGGTTGGTTTATTTTGAGCATCGTCATCTTCTTCCTCGGCAACGTGCCATCAGCAATGACGATTCCCAACTATGTACTAACGTTTGCACCAGAACTTCGGTTCGATCGAGCAGCAAAAGGTTATCCTATGTCGGCTCAGGTGTTTTATGAAGCTTTGAAAAATAACCAGTCTGGTGCATTCTTTATTGAAAATACGGACAGGGCCACGCTCGACAAAGGCACAGTACCAACTTACTACCAGGTTCGTACAATCGAAAAACAAATTCGTATTAACTATTGGTGGTTTTATGGCTATCAACATCCGTGCTTCTTAGATCAGGGTGCACATAATGGTGACTGGGAACATATAATGGTAATCCTGACAGAAAATCGCAGGGCTGTGGCTGCTGTCAGTTTTTATCAACATGGTGACCATTACACTCGCATTGCAGGTCCACGTGATGCACCATGCACTCCTAGTGATGTTGGACGTTGCTCTGGATCTTACGGTTTTGATAGTAGTGTTACTCATCCAATCGTATATGTTGGCAAACTTGCGCACGGTTCTTTCCACGATAGGAATACATTTAGTCTTCCATTAGGCGGCGAATGTGCATATTATGGTGACTTTCGGAATCCAAAATCGAGTGCTGATTACTTACAAACCTGGAAAAACTTGATCGACCTTGATGGAAACGAGGAGTCATGGATTGCAGCAGATAGAAACGCCACTTGGACATGGGGCCCAGATGGCATTAGCAACCATCCAACTCAGCATGATCCAAGTGATGCCGAACATTCGATCGCCTGTGAAGGAAGTGCTACATTTGACGTGGCTAATGCAGGCTGCTATGAATCTGAATGTCTATCCGGAGATGATGAGACCGAAACAAGGTGTCTCAAAAGATGCAAGCCTGGCTATGTCGATAGCGGTCATTATTGCAGAAAGAGTCGCTGGTCTTGGAAAGTACAATTCTACAATCGTGAGTCAGAGTCAAATTCCTACTTATACAACTACACTCTACCACATAACGATGCTGGTCTGAGCCGTCGTCGCAACAATAAAAATGAATGGCAACTGCCATAATTAGTGACAAACATTCATAATCCTACGTCGAACGTCTTATTTAATTTGAGCAATACATTTTTCTTTAAAAGTTCAATTATAATAAAATACATAACTTATTCATTCATTTGAGTTCTAATAAAATAATCAAGAAGTATCATTGCAAGATTGCTTTTATTTGTCAGTAAATCTCGATACATAAGTAATTGATACAGACTGATAAATTTTTTATTTGAGTCATGTCAGATGTGGTTGTCGATGATGTGTCATTGATCAACTTGTGATTGATGATCGTATAGTTAGAAAAACAAAACAAACATCTAGTGAATTTTATTACAATTAGCATCTTTATCAGGGAAGGTGTGTCGTTACAATTGCAACTACAAATAAATATTTAGATTAGGTTTACAGTCGCATAAATGCAATAAACTGATTGTATTACTGGAAAATTCTAAATAAGCTAAAATCAGTTACAAAAACTGCAAAAAGTTATGTATATTTTATGTTAAATTACATTTTATCACATACTAATCTAGTGCCTATGCTCTCATAGATCAGCTACTGTTGAACTTACGTTTGATTTGTTGATCAACATAATACTTTTTGTTCAAATACAAATTTTTTATATGTTGATGCTCTTCGAAAGGGGAACATGTATTATATATATGTTGGTTTCTATTGCTATAAAAATGTTAGTGTTTATCAAAAGATGTAATAGATAGTATCTACTTTGAATACAGTTTACATGCGTCTTCATCCATAAAATTGACGCATTATTCTTATCCTTTAATCTCTATTAATATATATTATATTGAAAGTATCTAGTTATGTGTATAAAAGAATTTCAATGAGACACAATCATAATTTTCACTAGGGCATCAAACTTTGTTTTGGTTGGTACATAAATTTTATCACATAGGATCTGATCTATAAGCGTAAGCAACACTACAATATTAAATGAATCTCCAGTTGA